CATCATACTTCTCCTCATTAATCGTTCTCCCCCTTCCCCCCCCCCCCTCCAACACTTTGATGAGAAAAATTGAGGGAAAAGAATAGTCTTCTTCACTGTCTTGATATACAGCTTCCCTGACATAACCAGCTCCTCATGGCAACAATCAGTAGAGGCGCCTTGGAGTCTGTGCTTCTCTTTTTCTTTTTCTTCACATTCACCAACTGTAAATTTGAGTGTTGCATGTATATCCGTTTTACAGATCTGGATTATTTGTATGCAGACTGATGTTTCTTTGCCTCTCAGGCAGATGCACTCCAACTTTGTAGGAAGCCCTCAGATAGTTGACTTTTACCACCTGCTTGTTGGGGAGGCATTGGGTCCATTCTTGTTTTCCCTACAGTGGGCCCCAGAACCCACACAGGGAAGGAGTGGCTGCTGCTGCTTCGGAGGTCTGAGCACAGTGGGAATGGCCAGCCACTGTACAGTGATGTTCTTCTTCTTCTTCTTCACTTCCTCTTTTACCGCTGTGGGTGTCGAGGGAGATATAAGGTTCTGTTTCTAGCTCTTCTGGCCGCCTCGACCATAGGCACATCGTGCTGTTGTAGAGTTTCTCTGATGTTATCCTTCCATCTTGTTCTTGGTCTACCTCGTGCTCTACGTCAACAGTGACGTTGATTGTAATAAAATAAAATACAGCCCCCCCTCCCCTCTTCTCCCTGTGTAACTCTTTGAAAAAAACGTTTCTTCGTTTCCCTCTCTGTGTAATAAGCTATTTACTGTAATCTTCAGCAGTGTGTTTTGTCTGTGTCCCAGAGTCCTACAATCATTTCAACACTAAATGCAACAGTCGGCACCAACAGAAGCAGCATGACCATGAGCCCCTCTGGCCTGCCCAGCAACATCATTGTGGTGCCCACCACGCCTAGCACTCATCCCACAACCTCAATCACACCCATGACAGCTTCCAAGACATTACATCGAGTGCCCACTGTGTCCATTGTGTCGCCATCCCAGTGGAAGGCTACCGAAGAGGCCAGCAAGGTTTGTTGCCTTGGTTTATTTTTTATTTTATTTTTTTTATTTTATTAATTCTTCTTCTTTGTTTACTGGCTGTAAGTCCTGGTTGTTTGTCTAATTGGACTTTGGCTTTTTTGCCATGGTCTGAGTTTTGCGTGTACATCTGTTTTACTGGCTTATTTGTGTGCAGTTGATTGTTCCTTGCCACTCAGTAGATGCATCACGATATCGAAGGAACCGCACAGTTAGTCGACTCTTACAACATGCTTTTTTTTTTTGTTTTGTTTTGTTCTTGTAAGCAATTAGTCTATTTTTGTTTTTCCCATAATGGGGCCTCCGACGCCCACACAGGAAGTTATTAATTCTCATTAATGGGAATGGTCATAAGTCACATAGGTCTAAGTCGAGAAAGTGTATTGTTAAACATGGCACAAGCTTGGTTTCTTTTTACTTATTCTAGTTGTTACATTCTTTGGGTAAAGAAAAGAACAAATGTATCCATACTTCAAGAACTGAATATGGAAGAAGGTTGGCTATTGAAGTCAATAAAACACAGAAAATTGAAATATTTTGGTCACTTGAAACATCATGAAAATTTAGAGAGAACAATAATTGAGGAGAATATGCCTGGGAAGAGAGGAAGAGGAATGCCAAAGAGAAGATGGGTGCAGGATGTGGTAGATGATCTCCAGATGGGTGTATCGGACGTGATCAAGAAGTTTTCCGGAAGGTTGTTATGGGAGCAAGCTTCTGCAAAGGACAGGCTACTGACTGACTGACTGACATTCTTTTCTGAATTCTCATCTGGACCAAATTTACTTCCAAGGTATATAATTTTTCAACGTCTTCTATTGCTTCATTGTTTAAGATCATTTGATTTTGTTTGTTTTGTTTCTTTTGCAGGTTAGAAAATGTATACAAGACAGTACAAAAGTTAAAAAAAAAATTTTTTTTTTTTTTGTAGACTGTGTAGAACCAGTTTTTACTTATGGCTGTGAATTTAGGACTTTTAATAAACTAACGGCATTTCTTGAAACCGTAGATGTTGTTTTCCTTGTGACGCCATAATAGGCAATCCAGTGGTTTTGAAAGAGGCAATGACTCTAGGACATTATTTGGACAATATGCTGTTCTCTCAGTGTGTGACAGGTAAATAGCTTTTGCTTATTTTATTTCATTCCAGGCCAAAAAAATGTACAGCTTGATGCCCCAGCAGCCTGTGAGTAATCATACTCTAATTAGTTAGTTAGTCTTTCCTCTTGTGTCGAGTGCGGCACATAGGGCAGAGGTCGCGACTCTCCATGCACAGCGGTCCGTTGCAATCCGTTGTAGGTCTTGGATGTTTGAGTGGCCCATGAGCGAGCCTTCCCTGATGATAGTTCTACGTAGGGTTTCCCTTGGTCTTCCACGAGATCTTTTCCCCTGTGGTGTCCAAATGAGGGCTTGGTAAGGAAGTCTTGATTTATCCATTCTAAGGGCAGGGCCGACATAGTTCCAGCGG